CATACACATCACAAGGATCCTGTGGTTGGTTCCTAAGGGTGGAGGGCGCCACCGTGTGGACATCTTTGGAAACACACCCATAAACACAACCTAGAAACACACACTCTGATCACACACACCCGTAAACACAAACCTAGAAACACACACACACACACTCTGATCACAACACCCAAAAACACAAACCTAGAAACACATACACACACACACACACACACACTCTCTGATCACAAGGCTCCTGTGGTTGGTTCCTAAGGGTGGAGGGCGCTACCTTGTGGCCATCTTGGGGAACACACATCCATAAACACAAACCTAGAAACACACACACTGTCTCCCTCTGATCGCACACACACATAAACACAAACCTAGAAACACACACACACACACAATCACAAGGCTACTGTGGTTGGTTCCTAAGGGTGGAGGGCACTACCTTGTGGCCATCTTAGGGAACACACATCCATAAACACAAACCTAGAAACACACACACACACTGTCTCCCTCTGATCGCACACACACATAAACACAAACCTAGAAACATACACACACACATACACACACACACTGATCGCAAGGCTCCTATGGTTGGTTCCTAAGGGTGGAGGGCGCCACCTTGTGGCCATCTTGGGAAACACATACCCATAAACACAAACCTAGAAACACACACACAGTCTCTCTGATCACACACACACATAAACAAACCTAGAAACACACACACTCTCTCTGATCGCACACACCCATAAACACAAACATACCCACACACACACACACACACACACACACACACACACACACACTGATCGCAGGCTCCTGCGGTTGGTTCCTAAGGGTGGAGGGCGCCACCTTGTGGCAATTTTGGGAAACACACACCCATAAACTCAAACCTAGAAACATGAACACACACCGTCTCCCTCTGATCACACACACACATAAACACAAACCTAGAAACACACACACTCTCCCTCTCTGATCACACACACCCATAAACACAAACCTAGAAACACACACCCTCTCTGATCTCACACACCCATAAACACAAACCTAGAAACACACACACACACTCTGATCGCAACACCCAAAAACACAAACCTAGAAACACACACACACACACACACACACATACACACAGACACTCTCTCTGATCGCAAGGCTCCTGTGGTTGGTTCCTCAGGGTGGAGGGTGCTACCTTGTGGCAATCTTGGGCAACACACACCCATAAACACAACCTAGAAACACACACACACTGTCTCCCTCTGATAGCACACACACATAAACACAAACCTAGAAACACACACACACACAATCACAAGGTTCCTGTGGTTGGTTCCTAAGGGTGGAGGGCACAGCCTTCTGGCCATCTTGGGAAACACACACCCATAAACACAAACCTAGAAACACACACACTAACATCTCTTTGATTGCAAAGACCGATAAACACAAACCTAGAAACACACACACACACACACACAATGATGGCAAGGCTCTTGTGGTTGGTTCCTAATGGTGGATGGCGCCACCTTGTGGCCATCTTGGGAAACGCACACCCATAAAAAACCTAGAAACACACACACACACAGACCCAGAACACACTGATTGCAAGGCTCCTGTGGTTGGTTCCTAAGAGTGGAGGGCGCCACCTTGTGGACATCTTGGGAATCACACACCCATAAACACAAACTTAGACACACACACACACACATCACAAGGATCCTGTGGTTGGTTCCTAAGGGTGGAGGGCGCCACCTTTTGGCCATCTTGAGAAAAGCACACCCATAAACACAAACCTAAACACACACACACACACACACACACACACACTGATCCCAAGGCTCCTGTGGTTGGTTCCTAAGGGTGGAGGGTGCCACCTTGTGGCCATCTTGGGAAACACACATCCATAAACACAAACCTAGAAACACACACACACACACACACACAGTCTCTCTCATCACACAAACCCATAAATACAAACCTAGAAACACACACAGTCTCTCTGATCACACACACTCATAAACACAAACCTAGAAACACACACACACACTCTCTCTCTCTGATAGCACACACCCATAAACACAAACCTAAAAATACACACACACACACACTCATAGCAAGGCTCCTGTTGGTTCCTAAGGGTGGAAGCTACCACCTCGTGGCCATCTTGGGAAACACACACCCATAAACACAAACTTAGAGACATACACATACACACACATACACACCACAAGGCTCGTGTGGTTGGTTCCTAAGGGTGGAAGCCGCCACCTTGTGGCCATCTTGGGAAACACACACCTATAAACACAGACCTAGAAACACACACACACACAGACTCTCTCTCTGATTGCATACACCCATAAAACACAAACCTAGAAACACACACACACAGACTCTCTCTATTGCACACACCCATAAATACAAACCTAGAAACACACAGACACACATTTTCTCTCTCTCTGATCGTACACACTCATAAACACAAACCTAGAAACACATACACTCTCTGATTGCACACACCCATAAACACAAACCTAGAAACAGACACACACACTCTCTGATCGCACACACCCATAAACACAAACCTAGAAACACACACACACACACTGATCGCAAGGCTCTGTGGTTGGTTCCTAAGGGTGGAGGGTGCCACCTGATGGCCATCTTGGGAAACACACACCCATAAACACAAACCTAGAAACACACACACTCTCCTCTCTGATTGCACACCCATAAACACAAACGTAGAAACACAGAAACACACACACACACAGATCACAAGGCTCCTGTGGTTGGTTTCTAAGGGTGGTGGATGCCACCTTGTGGCCATCTTGGGAAACACACACCCATAAACACAAAACCCAGACACATACACACACACACACACACACACACACAATCACAAGCCTCCTATGGCTGGTTCCTATGGGTGGAGGGCGCCACCTTGTGGCCACCTTGGGAAACACACACCCATAAATACAAACCTAGACACACACACACACACACACACACACACACACAATCACAGGGCTCCTGTGGTTAGTTCCTAAGGGTGGAGGACGCCACCTTGTGGCCACCTTGGGAAATACCCATAAATACAAACCTAGACACACACACACACACACACACACACAATCACAAGGCTCCTGTGGTTGGTTCCTAAGGGTGGAGGACGCCACCTTGTGGCCACCTTGGGAAACACACACCCATAAATACCTAGAAACACGCACATTCTCTCTCTGATCTCACACACCCATAAACGCAAACCTAGAAACACACACACACACACACACACACACACACACACAAAATCGCAAGGCTCCTGTTGTTGGTTCCTAAGGGTGGAGGGCTCCACCTTGTGGCCATCTTGGGAAACACACACCCATAAACACAAACCTAGAAACACACACACACACACACACACACTCTTCCCCCCGATCCCCGACTGGGCCCCCACCAGAGCAGATCCTGAGGATAAACTGAGGATGAAGCCTATGCTACTGTGCATTCTGGCCTCCCCACTGCTGCCCTCCTCGGCTCAGCAGTACACAGGCGAGCTCCAAGGGGGTTCCCCAGCCCCATGAGCTCCCATAAGGACTGGTCCTCCCATCAGCATTTATCACTCTGTCCTGGGCTTGCAGCCACCAGCAGTGCAAACAGCTGGGGAATCAACAGAGGTGCAATGGTGCTGCCTGGATCTAAGTTCCAGCTTGGCCATGTCACCCACTGTGTGACCTGAGGCACGTTCCCTAACTTCTCTGGGCCTCTGTAAAACGGAGATAGCAGCAGTGCCTCCCTTGTAGGGTGGCTGTGAGGGTAAAATGAATCCAGTCACAAAGCACAGAGCAGCCCTGGCATAGAGTTAAATGTTCAGTGACTGTACTATTGAACCAGTATTATTATTGCTAATTATTAGTTACTGGTATTATTATTACTAAAAATATTATTAGTCCTCCCCAATAAGCCAGACCTCTTCCCAGTAGAGATCAAGCCCCAGATTCATCTCCCCAACAGAACCAAGCATGTGGCAGGCATGAATATATACATCAAAAGCCATTGCTTCATACACTTCATTCATTCTCTTGTTCTCACCACATTCCCACCGAACACAAGGACTCTGCCCATGCTGTTCCCTCTGCCTACAACGCTCTTCCCCAGACCCTCTGCCTGACCCACCCCACACCCCAGTGGGGTACTGTGACAGCCTCCCACAGCACAGGCTCCCTTTCTGCCTCACCCACCTCCGTCTGCAATGATATACTCAGGTGGTTATGTAATTAACATCCATCTCCCCCAGGGCCGGGTACTACATGAGTGGCAGGGAGGGGCTAGCACAAAAAAGGCACCCCGTGAAGGTGGATTCACCTGCATACAGCTCGACCTCCCCCATACCTCTGCACATGCGGCTCCCTTTGCCAAGAACACCCCTCCCTCCCTTACCAGGCAGGGTCAGGTCCCCCACCCACTCTGAGCCTTTCACTGTCTGCAAACACATCTGCCTCCCTCACTGGACTGAGAGTCCCAGGAGGGCAGTACCAGGATAGTCTTGGTCACTACTATGTCCCCAGCACCACCTGGCACAAAGCAGGTGCAGAAGAGAGGCTCAGAGGCCAGGCGTGGAAGCTCACTCCTGGAATCCCAGCACTTTGGGAGGCCAAGGTGGGCAGATCACTTGAGGTCAGGAGCTTGAGACCAGCCTGACCAACATGGTGAAACCCCATCTCTACCAAAATACAAAATTAGCCGGGCTTGGTGGTGAGCACCTGTAGTCCCAGCTATGTGGGAGGCTCAGGCAGGAGAATCGCTTGAACCTGGGAGGAGGAAGCTGCAGTGAGCGGAGATTGTATCACTGCACTCCAGCCTGAGCAACAGAGTGAGATTCTGCCTCGAAAGAAAAGAATAAATACATGCTAGGTGAGGGAGACAGGGCTGAGCATGGGCCCCGAGGTGCATGATGAGAGGGCACACACCCGCCCCAGCTGCCCGCCTCAGCTGCCCGCCCATCCAAGACTCACTGCTCCCGAAGGTGCCAGATCTCAGTCTCCCGGGTGTCCCGAGCATCCTGGCCGCCCAGCCCTTGCAGGCGGCCCAGTTCCTCCTTCAGTGAGCGGATGATGCCCTGCAGAACCACGGGGTCTGGCTTGCCCTGGTATGGGAGGGGCAGCGGGTAGTGAATCCTGAGGAGGTAGGATTAGAACCGTGACATCTCAGAGGCCAAGAATGCACCCGAGGGTAAATACCAGACTCTGAGAGTCACAGCATACAAAAACACACAACTCCAGAAACGGTACTATCCTAGAGGCTTAAGTTCTGAGCACTGCCTCAAGACCCCTCCCTGTCCCCAGACCCCTTGTTCCAGTCACCACCTCTGAAAGCCTCTTATATAGCAATTTGGGGACCACTGGGATTGTCAGGCCTGGTGTAGCCTGGGGTAACTTCCCTGTCGCATACTGGTGATGAGGGGAATGCTGGTATCATGTTACCTGCAAGCAAATACAATCCTAATTCAGATGCCACAGTGGGGGATCCTGGTTGGCCTGGCCTGGGTCACCCCGGCTTGGCTGGGGAAAGGGAGGGCATCTTGATTAACTGCCCCATGAGATACTATTCACAGGGGATTGGTAACTTCCCAGTACGAAATCCAGTGGCCACTAACACATGGGGCAGACACAGTCACCCAGCTACACAAGGGCCATTCCCAACGCCCTTGCTGCCTCCCCCTATAAAGGCTGGAAAGCCAGCTATTCATTTTCCCAACATCCTTGCACGTGACCACTTCTGGCCAAATATTACTGGAAATCTGTTGGGAGTCTTCTGGGAATGCTCCTTTTTTTTTTTTTTGAGATG